GGGGAATATAGAAAAGAATTATCATGGAATTCTAGGATGATTCAAATTGAACTAAAAGAAAGGCGAAGATATCCTGTGAAGAGTTCCAAGTAAATTCAGACTAACAAAGAAATTCATGATCTGGGACACAAGAAAAATATAAATTCTGGAATTTAGATTCATTGCAAGATCCTGATACCTAAAAAATGAAGCTACCAGACTTTCATCTTAGAAATATAATAAAATTATGCTTTGGCATAAAATTATTCGTAATGGTCATGCTAATAGTGGCTATTAGTTCACAAAATCCAACCCATCAAATTTCCTTGATTCTTTGCTTCTTATGCTTTTTAAAAAGTTACAGTTTAAAAAACAGTTCTAACGATATTTTCTGCTGTTTCTAACTCACATTTAACTCAATTTTTGAAATAGATGTTTGAACTTTTTGGGCACACCTTGTCAATACTTTTCAACTTTTGGATTATTTTAGCAAGGCTTGCAAGTTATTTGCCTTATATAATTTATTTAAACATGTAATTTATAACCATTCTGGTGCTTTTGATAAATTTCAGATGATCATACTGACCTATTTTTACGGGATATAGGCACATCAATATCAATAGCATTATGTTAAAAAGAGGGTTTTTTTTTAGCATTCCAGATTATTCCAGATTTTATATTTTACCTGGTCCAGATTTTTCTGAAAATAGCCTGGCAACGCTGGTTGCGCCGGTGCTAGGAGCCAGTGCTGCACAATTTCGGAAATACACGGTGATACTCAAAATTCTGCTTTGGTCACTCGTTTGTGCTAACAGTCATCGTCAAGGCAAACCATGTCAATTGTCAGTGGCATTTTTGTTAGTGACGAACATGTGCTGATTTGTTTATTAGCTAAATTTAAAATGAAATTAAATGTCTTGAGGAAAACATTAACATGGAGCCATTAAAGTGAACAAGCATCTACGTCCTGAACAGCTTGGATAACAATAATGTGACTTAGAATGCAAGTAATTACCATTTCTGTTACCAGGTGAATCTTTGTCACTGACGAAAAAATGAATGAGATGTTGACAAAGATTTTTTTGAGGATCAAGTCTATCATTGACTATGTGACAATCAATTTTGTCAATATCGCGCAAAAGTCTGTCAATGACAATGACAAATCTCAGCACTGATTGGATGTGATGGACGTGATGGTAAGTGATATATTGTCACGGAATATTCTTTCCAAAGCAACGAAGAAAACATAGACATGCTCGTTGATATAGAGCAATGCTTCGCCAGTATAATCCTTTAGTATAGTAAACTTCGAGTATGATTGTAAGATAGCACTGCTTGATATACATGGCGAAGAACAAGCTTCACAAACGGTATAGTTCATGGCAACGCTCCGTAGAATATATCAATCGATAAGATAAATTTAATCTCTTTCAGAGTTGTCAAAAAATGCATCGTCAAAAAATGCATCGTCGAAAACATCCTCCGGGTATTCCACAGTGATCAGTTGGTAATCACTAACAACTTGTTTTTGAAGATGGCTACTTACTAGAGCCGTCTCCTGGCGTATGTATGCTGTAAAGCGCGTCAGTCACAGCCTATCATCGTATTCATACGATGTGTTTGGAATTTCTGACATGAATTGGGAAACTGATAGCAGTTTTAAGTTATTCTTGAACTGTAGAGCTGTTGGTCTTTTTTGCTTAAACCATCGCTTAAACCTAAGCAAAGAAAATATATTTTCGACACAATCTTGTGTGAACCTGGCTGTGAATTTACGGTTTAGCGACTTTGCAGTCAATTTAATTGTTTATAGGAAAGTTTGAACATACTGAGAGGTAAGCACATATCGTCGGTAAGAGACATGTGTGTGAGAAAATTTGCGAAAAAATCTAAGGGCACCGGTGGGATTCGAACCCACAATTCCCATTCAGTACACGGGTGCATTGCCAATTATACAACGGTGGACCTATGGTCTACGGATGTATTTGGCTAATGACATTTGAGTTTCGAATCCGTTCCCCACCCTAGCCTTTTTGCGCAAGCGTTCTCTGATACACAACAATCGTCTATTATCGACGATATGTGCTTGTACCGCAACCACTCAGTATCAGTCGATGTGAACAAACACAGCTCATTTTTGTTATTCATCTTACATGCTGAAATATGTCCAGTACAGTATGACTCTAACATTTTGAGCTGCCGGCCTCACCTCCGACCTGGCTGTGAAGACGAACTGGTAGTGCCTAATAGCGCACTTAATTTTTATTCAGTTCCGGTCGAACGTTTAAATTTTCTCAACAGCATTGCGGCACTGTATGAAAGTCATTTGAAGCCACTCGAAGAAACATGGTTGCCAGTGACATTCCCGAAAGATCTCTCAAAAACCGTGCTGCTGTTTTGACAAAAATTTCTTTGCCCGTCTCTATCAACGTCTCTGCATCAAAAGTGACACACAAGGAAGAAGTGTTAGTTTGTTTACTCAAATGAACTATGCCCATTTTGTTATGGCAAGTTTTGCTATAAGAAATGCTGCTCGTGTTTATTAGTGAAATTCACATCAAAGGTTGATTACTTGCGTAGGAAATCAGGTTGGCACGGCATTTTTGACCAGCATACACCTTCCGGTCGTATGAGATAAGTCAAACACTGTCCAAATCCGCTTATAAATTTTTTTGTTTTGAATTTCTGTATGGCAAAATTGTTAACTTTTCGTGAACATTAACGGCAAAGAACTCACCGACATTGGGAGACCGTGAGCCCACCTTTGATAAAACCATAGAGGTAACTCTAAGACTAGAAGGTCCCGAAGAAACGCGCTCAAATTTTTGGCTCAGCTCTGGTACTATCTTCGGTCCCAAGCTAATCGATGCACCCCTCGAAACATTGGAAAATCAACGAACCCCTCATTTTATCTGTCAAACTTTCATAGCGAATCAAAATAAACATAGTGCAGTACTGGAATTTATACTAGAATGAGATACGTTAATCGATTTGCTTGGGACCAATGGGCTAGTCAAGTAGTGAGCCAATTTAAAATCGTTAGTTTCGAATTGATTGTTCATAAAACCATCTCTGCGCCGGTGTCCCTGTCAAAACTTATGAGCTTCCCCTAGTTAATTTTGATAGTGTTGTTCTGATGAATAAAGAGTTGATGTAATAATTCAATAATCTAGTTTGCTACACAGGGGACTTCATGAATTTTCTCTGTTTTGTATCAGAAAAAGGTTTTCGGAAGTGTTTGACGGACATTCTTCATTACACTTCAGTGTTCACTAGAATTAGTCAAGTTTTTCAATTCCTCCTACTTCGGTTAGTGCGAAAAGTGGCATACAAATTTTGTTTACACAAGATGATAGGCCCTTCAAATATTACGTTGGGTAGTGATTCAAATAGAAATTGAGAATAGGTTCCTCGAATTCATGGAGCGTTTAAAAATTAAAACAAAGACTAATATATGGTGATAAACTATAACGAACAAAGTTTGGTGCACAGGTAAACAAATGAGGTACGCGACGCCTATATAGGATTACGAAAGAACGAGTTTCAGTAAAGATTATTCCACTAAAGAGGATCACTCGAAAATCCAACACACTTTGCATGCCTCAAAGCCCATTATACAACAATCAAATGAGATAATTTATATTTTTATATTCACACACTTAGTTTGATAGCCATAAGATATTGTTTATCTGGCTTTGTAGAAAATATTAGTAGAAGATTTTTTTTTCATCTAAGGACTTTATCGAGGACTGCGACCTGTACTTCATTGTTGGTGAGATTGCTGTATGTGAATTCCCAACATCCCAGGCTTACCGATTATTTGGTTTGGAGTCCTTGGGCGATTGATAGTATCGCGGGTGAGCCACTGTAGTCCTTTCTTCCTTGTGGTTTTTTGTGTAGTAGTCAAATTACATCCGTTGTAATATGCTTTAATACCATGTTCACTTAATTGCAATAACACGAACTACACTAGGTTATTGGACTTTATACAGTTTATAGAAATTACTCTACAATGATTTATTAAAATTATTTACATACTGCTTCGTGAGCATAGTCGTTCGTTGAAAAGCTGCGATGATAGTCTCGAAGAGAAGAGATGTACTCTCATGATTTGGTGATGAAAAGTGAGGTGGGTTCGGACGCTTTACCATAATCGTCAGGATCATCTACCTTAGTCCCGAACAGACTATACTCCTGGCCAAAGACATAATCGGTGCAATAAGAACCCTAGAAGCATTATTGTCACATATCGGTAGCAGACATTTATTTCAGTCATAAGATGCTGCAAATTTTTGGGACGGGATTGTGCTACTCGAAGATACTGCAATACATACATTGAAAATAAAATTTCGTTTATACAAAAAAATCTTGCATGAATTTTATAACTAAATTCTTACCTACCCATCAATTCTCAAGACCATAGCAAAAATAAACCAGGAACCCTCCGCACCCATTTGCATATCCGAGCACAAAAACTTGAGCGCGTGAAACAAACATTCCAAAGAACACACAATCCCTGTCGCTCCCTGCTTCAGTCGTTAATGTTGATGTTGATGTTGATGTTGACTGGACTGCACTGACGAAGCGGGCGGACTGTTCCATTTAGGTATTGTTGCTTCTTCCATACCGTGCCAAGTAATTTATATTTACATTAATTCACCCAACAGAGCAACAACAACACAGCAAAACTACGCCCCATGACTGTGTCAGAATAGTAATGGCTGTTTGAACCCTTGTAACCAACGTTTCACCGTTCTCCACCGACCATCGTGGATCTACCGTGTACAGAAATAAGCTTTCTCTCACCCTTTTCTCATTAGATTTCTTTTCCCGAACGATGAGAATCGTCTAATGTTACTTGCAAGCAATTTATTTCGAAGAAAGCATTTCGCGTTTTGTTTAAGAACAAATACATCATCAGTTCTCTTTTGGACAAAGCTGTTGGTGCTGATGATGATGATGATGGTTTCGTGCGATGAACTTTTTCAACAGATGTTTTCCCTCTCTCTCTCCCGTTTCAGGTTACACCCAGGACATCACACACCACTTCACCGCCTACCTGCCAAAGCTGGAACATGACGGTGGCTACCACCAGCAGCAGCCGCAGCAGCAGACAACGACGACGCACTACATCCTGCCTCCAACTCCAACGTCTCCGCCTCGATCCCCAGAAGATCCCCATCGGAGTCCCTCCCACGGTAGTCCTTCCTCCGTGAGGAAGCATCTTTTCAGCAGTTCCGGAACGGCACTTTCGCTACCCCCGAAGAAGAAGGACATCTACCGACCGTACTCGCTGGATGATAGGCCCCGGAACTACGAGATACGGATCCCAGCCGAGGAGGATCTGCATGCAGCGCATGCGATACTGGATCTTAGTGCATCGACGGCGTTCCTTCCACCTCCGGCCCCGCATCAACTTCTGCAGCATCAGTCGCAGCAGATGATGCAGCAGGAAGATAGACTGCACACCGTGCCTAGTTCGTTGGGATCACCGGAGCAGAATGAGAATAAGAATAGCACAAATACCCTCGACGACGATAAACCCTGCAAGACAGTAGCCTATACATACGAGGCATTCTTCGTGAGCGACGGCCGGTCGAAGAAGAAGGTCAGCGACCCGAAGATAGTTCTGGAAACCAAAGCCAAATACACCTGCACCGAGTGTGGCAAGCAGTACGCTACCTCGAGTAACCTATCACGGCACAAACAAACGCACCGAAGTCTCGATTCCCAATCGGCAAAAAAGTGTATGACCTGTGGCAAGGCATACGTTTCTATGCCAGCCTTGGCCATGCACGTCCTAACGCACAAACTATCTCACAGCTGCGGTGTCTGCGGAAAGCTGTTCTCGAGGCCTTGGCTGCTACAAGGTCATCTGAGGTCACACACCGGGGAAAAGCCCTACGGATGCGCTCACTGCGGAAAGGCCTTTGCCGATCGGTCGAATCTGAGAGCCCACATGCAGACACACTCCATAGATAAGAACTACCAGTGCCAACGGTGTCATAAGACCTTTGCGCTGAAGTCATACCTCAACAAACATCTGGAGTCAGCGTGCTTCAAGGAGGATCCCAGCCTCGGACCTCCACCGGTGCTAGGACCAAACCATGGCCTGGACGATATGGACGACGACAACCATCACATGCTGATGGCTGGATCGTCGCTTGTGGAAAAAATCGGAACGAAGGTGCTGGTTAAGAGGGAGAACAACAACGACGAAGCTTTAAATCAAAACTTTGCCACCCTAGCGGCGGCAGCAGCAGCGGCCAGCAGTGGGGTCTCTACGAGCAATATACTTGTGATGAAGAACGTTGCCAGCAGTTTGCTGGCGAGTAGCAATAGCCTAAGCAATAGTGGTCCATCTCCGTCACGGACCACCACCATCCTGACAACGAACCCGGCGGCTGTCCTGGGAGCGGTCAACGGTACCACGGCCATCCTCACCACGGGCAGCCATCCAGTCCACATAAACGTCAACTTTAGCGGGTAACCGATAGTGGATGCGGCCACCCTGGCCGCCACCAAGGAGTATCGTATTATTTTAAACTAGACAAGGCCAAGTTCGATTCTGAGTGTTCCGCACCTCCCTCGGACAGCTGTGCAAACGCTTACAAGGTAGTAGGTTCGGAGGGATGTGTGCGGGATCAGTTTGTAAGTAACGTTTCCACTTTTAAAACGAGCAACCTTTCCGTTTTCCGTTTCAATTTAATCCTATAGTTCTACAACTACTATACAAGCAATCCTTAAAAACCAACACTAATAAACATACACTTGAAACATCTGAAACAAGAAACGAAACGAAACGTCAAATGAACAAGTATTTACACACATGAAACCCTTGAAACAAAACAAAAAAAAAATTAGTCCATAACAAGTTTAAAATGCAAGCAATCCCAAGAGCAATTAATCGATTCAATTAACCTATAGCGGTACTACCGACTCAATTATTATGCGTTGGCGGCGATGGCCGTCTCCTAATTAGGAACTACCGATAACACTATTTATTGTAAAACCCTAGCTTATCATCAAACAAAACAAAATCTAAGTGAGGTTATGTTAAACAAACCCAAACAAAAAACAATCCAAATGCAAAACAAGCATACAGCTTAATTACAGCATTTCAAACTACCAGCTCTCGAGTATCGCTCGCTTGACACACTCATTTTGTTAAGGTTCAATTTCTGTAACACTATGACTGAGGGATGGAGAAGGCAAGAAGAAGCAAGTGAGACACGGAAGCAGAGTTCTTATCGCGGCCGCTCCCGAAAGAAAGGAAAAAAAAATGGCTCGAAAACACCAACTAAGGAGGAAGTTCACAAGAATTTTGAGGTTATCAGCGAAGGCAATGTCAAATGTCGCTCCTACTCCCTCGCTGCCACAGAGCGAGGGGGTTTGTTACATAGCGAGCGTTATCGGTACCGGTGGATCGGAAGCCCTGACAAAACGTCAGACGACAGTGTTAACTACGTGGACGCGAAGGTACAGGGGGGCGTGGGTCCTGGTCTGGTAAGTGAAATGAAGAAATAAATATTAAACCTCTTGGAGTTCGCAGTGCACCTAGTGATTCCAGGGGAACGGGAAGGTTGGAAGCGTGGGGGTTCAACTGATAAGTCAGTCAGTTGTTCCCGACCGGAGCGGTGGAGATGAAGGTGCGAAAGGAGTTGTGTTCCACTGCGCCGCTGGCTGAGGTGACAGGTCTTCACTTTCTCTGTTTAACTTGGCCGAAGGCCTACAGGGCTGGTGGATGCAACGTGACCCCGGTGTGGGGGGATTGTTGTTGGTGATAAGGTGTTGATCGCAAAAGTGGTGTATGTATGGAGTTGAGTAAGCGACGACTGCTCGGGTGTGGATTCATAAGATTTAGGGAGCCGAATATTTTATGCATTATTGTCTTTCTCTTGTCTGGACCAGCGTTGTCAGATATACCGATTTATCGGTATTTCTACCGATTTTCAAACTTGATACCGATGTACAGATAAGGTAACTCAGAATACCGATTTTTGAGTTTTAATACCGATTTAAACCGATTTTTTTTAATAATCAAAATGATTACTGCTTGCCCGCGCTGAAACTATTGTGAGAAACTTTTATCTTTTTTAAACATTCAAATTTTTGAGCCAGCTCTAAAAACATTTTTTCATTAAAAATGTCTTCTGCTTGATATTGTTTCTAATGCTTCCATTTCCTCGCCTTTTTTGGCTACCAAGGGGCCGAGAAAAAGCTGATGGCGCAGTGAACAAATAAATCCATCAAAATGATAATTTTTCAACATCCTGAAATTTTTCTAATCTTACCTTCGAAGTTTCTTCCAACTTTCCCTAGCAATTGTCGGCCACCTTACCCTGTAAGTTATTTTAGAGGTTATTTTACAACCACTTTCGGAAATCTATTTCGACTTCCCTTGGAAGCTTCTTCTGGCTACCCTTGAAAGGTTCTTTCGTCTTCTCCCTTATCTTACCAATCAGGTCTTGATGTCCTCTGCTGTCCGAAGAAGTCGTCTCCACTCTACACGATTCATGGCCACACGTCGTCAGTCTCGTAGTCTACGAAGGGTCCGCAGGTCGCATTCTACTTCGTCTTCTCGCGTCAGTTTTTTCAACTTCCCCGAAACTTCAGAATTGCTTCCAGAGATTTATTGCGGTTCCATTAGCTTCAGGAACACTGCAGGATCTTTTCAGAATTTCTGAAACTGCAGAATAGTTCGGACTTTTAGGTTAGTTTAAAGATATGTAAGGTTGGTAAGTTCCGATAAATTAAAGACAGTTTCATTAACTGCTGTTAAAATTCGAGAACCCGGGAATTTCAGGAAAGTCCAGAGAACTCCCGTGAACTGAAGGAAACATCTGAAATAATTTGGAAACTTCACAAGTCCAAAGAACTACATAGAAACTTAATGGTTTTCATGACACTTTCATTTGTTTCAGGAGAATTGAGGTAACCTTAGGAAAGCTCTGAGAACATCAGGACACACCAATTCATGAAAAAAAATTAACATTTAAAGGAGTTCCAAGAAACTCAGAGAACTTCCAAAAACTTCAGCAAAGTTTCGAGAGGTTCATGAAAACTTTGTAAACTTCAAAACAGCCCCATTTATTTCTGGAAAATTGCAAGAATTTTCAAGGAGTTCCAAGGAATTAAGGAATATTCCGAAGTGCATTTCAGGAATGTTCTGAAAACTTCCGAGAAATTGTGGGATTTAAGGGATATTTTTAAAAATATCAGGAATATTGCTGGATCATTTGATCATGTCAGGAACTTCAGGGAATGTAGCTAACATCGCCCAGAAATCAATTTCTTCCAGATTTTTTTTCCCTTCTGTTCCTCTGTAAGCCCTCTGGCTTCCGCCTTTTTCCAGAAGTTTCTTTCAATCTACCTTAGAAAGTTTCTCCCAGTGCCTCCGAAAAGTTTATTCATCTTTTACAGGAAGTTCTCCAAGAAGTTTCTTTTATCCTCTGGAAGTTTCTCCATAGGTCATTCTCCGTAGGTTTTTTCTGACTTCTATTAGAAGGTTTTTCCGAGCTTCTTATGACTTCCCCTGGAATTGCTTTCCAATTTCCAAAACTTTTCTGGTTTCCTCTGGGTGTGTTATCTGATTTTTTCCGACAGTTTCTAAAGTTTTCGCCAGAAGTTTCTCAATATTTGTCTTGGAAGATCCTCATCGGATGTTTTTTTTTTTAGAATTTCCTGCAAACTTCCATCATAAGAACTTCTTTATACTTTCTCTGGAAGTTTTTTCGGCATCATTAAGAGACTAGTTCAAATATTCCCGGAAATTTCTTCCGACTTACTACTTCGTTCTTAGTCCAAAGGTTTGAATTGTCGCCTTCAAAAAGGCAAAAATTTAAAACTAATTAAAATAGTGGATACCGATAGCTACCGATTTTTTTAACATTTGATACCAATAAGCTTGAAAACAATCTGGCAACGCTGGTATGGACTCTTCAAAAGTGCGGAATCGCAAAAAAAAAGAAGTGCGCTTTTACTTTGTATCGTTTTGTTGTCTTTGGGCATTTTTTTCGTTATGGAACTACCCTAGAAAAAAAACTCATAAAACGTCAGAAAAGGTTAGCGAATTTTAAAAAGAAGACCAAATGAATCATGGGAATCATAGAAGAAGTTCAGGAGAACATTGAAGAAGTTCTGAGAACTTCAGAAAAGTACAAGAAATTCAACCGACATCAACAGGGAAGGGGAGTTCAAAGATACTATAATAGGAAAATTTCATCAAAATCATATTCTACATTCACCACTTATGCGATCAGATGAATGCCAACTACCTCCACTACACGCGCCAGAGAAAAAAAAAATACACTGAAAAAAACAACGCCAGCAATTTTCTCATTAATCATTCGCTTTCGATCCTTCTTCTTCTACCGCCACGCCATCGTTGTCGTGTCCAGCTCCATCGTTCTTCCTAACCGTTCTCCATTGCTACGGTGGAAGCTCGTAACAAGAACGACAACGAGCACACTGACGATGATGTGTAACAACGTGGGGTCCCTCCTCTACCCCGGGAACTATTTATTAGAGCTTATTCAATTATGTATTCATCGTCCGTGTTACATACGACCAATCATAGTTACTCAAAATTGAGTTGAATTTAACTCAATGTTGCAAAAGTGATGTTACTCAGAGAAGTGAATTTTTTCTAAATTTTACAGGGAATATTGAGGAAAATCGAAAGATATTTCTCTCATTCTATTAGTATATAGGAATTTCCGAATAGTGCAGTGGGGGGTGCCGACCACCAACCGCAACTAATCGGCCGTTGTCCAACCAATTGAGCTGATCTTCAGCTTAATTAAATGGAGAACAGCCGATAGATTGCGGTGGGGTGTGGGGAGGCACCAGCCCCCGTGGTATTCGGGAGATTCCTGTACTCCTAGACTGAGTAAAATGTTGGTCGATTTTCCTCATATTGAAGCAGTTCTTCCTGGAAAAGTGAAGACAAATTTACTCACTCACTCACTGATAAAACCCACTTTTTGCAGTTTTGAGTTGAATTCGACTAAGTTACTGGGTTACTCTCGGGCCACTTTGGTTAGCCCGTTAATATCGGTACAGTTGAAAGCCGAAATAACTCTCGTTCTATACGTTAATTGTAGTGTCGGAAGTAGTGCGCTGCAATCGCACAATGATGCTCTATACAGCGCAATACTTCCGTCACTTTGTTCAACGTACAGAACGAAAGTAAAATCGTTTGTCTCTAGTGGGATATTCCGGTTTTCAACTATACCGATGATATCGTACAGTACACCCCCCGCATCTCTTCTCGGTCGTTGTCTTTGTTTTGACACATACGGAGTGTGACAGTTCTATCTACTGAAACATTTCAGTGAATCGTTTCAATCCATCACCCAGAGTAGCTACGATGATATCATAAATACGTCCAACAACAACAGAAACTAAAAAAAAAAACAAAAGCAAACAAGTTAAGTCAAGCAAATAAAATTTGCTCCCAACCCCCTCAATATTACCCCCTTATCCACGTGTGAAGAAAGCGTTTTAAAAACAAACAACCAAAATTAAAGTTTTTCGTTAACGACAAATCAAAAAAAAAAAAAAAAGTTACAATCCCGTTCTGTTCGAAGCCTGTGTGTTGTAAAAAGAGCCTGTGTAGAGTAAAATTGGGGTAAAATTTTAAGCAATGTAAGGTTAGGTTTTAAGGGGGTCTCTTTTAGGACAATTAGCGAAGTAAGAGCTAACATTCAAGCCAGTTGTTGAAACAGTTGATGCCACAGCGAGTCGTGAGAGTTAGTGAAAGGTTGATGATAACTGCTAGAGTATATAAACAGAGTAAGAGAAAAAGAGTAAGAATGCAAAATTTATTGAACAGAAATCTAGTCTTCACCTAGTCTTAGGAAGTAGTTTGCCATAGGTGGTGCGTGTGGCAGCTCTTGAGATAAAAAGGATTTAACAAAGATATGGCACACTAGGAAACTACTTCTAAGTTTTAGTTCTTCTTAAGCTACATTCCTTTCCCTAGACTGTAAGCTGTAATCAAAACATAGCGTAGAGCTCTAGTACTACGCTATTCTAGTCCTGTTTCCTCTAAGCGTGGGAGGACCGGCATCGTGGGTTGAGGAAAGAATTCGGTTCAATTTCTGTAAATAACGAGCAAGCTCCGTTTTAATCTGATCTATTTCAACCGGTTTCCTTTCCTGATCGTAGAATTTCTGAAGCAAACAAGTGTATTTTGTGACCAACAACGAGTGAATCAACGAATTTATTGGAAATCATGACTTTGAGGTTAACTTTTTTTTTTCGAGGAATTGAAAGTTTGTTTTTCGTTCGTTTAAACTTTCCTCAAGACGCGAGTTTTTCATCACATTGTAACATTGTAGGAAGTAAGTAATAACGAACAAAAAAGCCAGTTCATAAATGCAACGAAAGTTCTGAACGAAAAGCAACGTTTCTGAAACAACGAATTAGGGTGTTAGTAAAGCAATTGTTTTTGTTTACTCGATTCTTGAAGATTCCTCGGAGGAAAACTCCGTCTGGGATTTTACTTTCTGTAAATAGTTCTCTACGGCGGTGCGGTAGGAAAGCCAAAACAGATGTGAATGACAGTTGAGTTTTTATTGCTAAACAGAAGAATCTTCTGCCAGTGCAACGCTAGCGCCATCTTTTGGTGACGCGAATTGCGTGCATTCGGGGGAAGATTCACCATGCTGCAAATTTTGACAAGCGCTTCTTTAGATGTTGATTGATTATGGAAAACCGCAGTTCTTAACAGAGGCATTTTTAACAAAAACACATACACCGACACTTACATACAGAAAAACATACATGCATACAATACAAACAAAGAGGAGATGCTAGATCTCGTAGCCTTAGATTTTATATGAGAAGCTTTTTATCAGAGAGGATCGACGAAGACGGGAGGAGAGATTGTAAATAGCTGTCAGTCAACCTTCACACCGGGAAATTAATTTGTCAAATCAATCATCTTCATTTAATGTCCGAAACCCGAAGGATCAGCCCCGGGTGAGGGGGAGGATTTGTGAAGGATTCGAAGGGTCTTCATCAGAGAGCTGATTACCCTTAAAAAAGGTTAGGCTCAACAACAAAAAATTGATAATGAATTATCTTCCGCATCGGTCTGAGCTGACAGGTGTCAAAGTACTTACCGCGGCTCTCCTGGTTTTCGGACCTGGAAAAAGGGACTCGGTGGGATGGCATGGAGGACCCTTCTCTTCGCAAATCTCTCCACCCAGATGCAATGAGGCATAGGGCGCTTGGAAGGAAGAAACATTGACACTTGTGAAAAGAGTTGTTTAGAGGTTAGGATTTTGCGTTTTTTGCCTTCTTTTGATATTCCTTTCTCCTGGAAGCAATCGGACTGGAACGAGTTGATGTGGACGGATGTGGGTAACACGTGCAATAGGATTTGAATGGGTTGAACGGGTCGTCGCATGACGCTTCCCGGGCACCCAAAGGTGAAGAGGCGTGTGAGTGTGCGTTTAAGGAGTTAGGTTAGGTCTCGGACAAAGATAAACTTTCTTGCATATTGTATAGTCAATTCAAAGTTCGTTTCTTCGGATACGGGAAATCCCTACCGACGTCTGCCTTCCGGGCGGGCAGCGATGGTCAATTCTGATTTGTACTCTCACGTGGCATAAATAATTAGTTATATCCATCCAGAAAACGGAAATCGAGAGCTTTAGTCCAAATAATCGAGCAATTAGTAGCTTATCTAGATAACTTTTAATCGAAGTCACATTAACACCTACATATATACTCAACTATGTATTTCGGTAAACCCCCCTTGTTAATTATTACCCCTTCTCAGCAGTAGAGTTAACTATCGAAAATCTCCCGAACATGGAGTGACGCTCGCTCGCGCGGCGGTCCACTCTTGGGAGTAAACCCCTTTTAACTATCCAACTTTTGGTAAGAAATTTACATACAATTGTAAAATGGAGTGTGTTCTAGTCAAACTATAATCAAAGAATTCCGAGAGACACGCAAGAGGCTTTCATGAGATCTCATTAAGTTTTAAGAAAACCCCCTCATTCTCAGGATCGTTAGGGTTCAAATCAAAATCAACAAAAATCAACTCTGTAAATATCAACCGAGGGATGGTCCCATACAGTAGAATGAAAACCAAAAATTAGCCCAACTAGGATTAGCCGAGACAGCTAAAATTACAATAACAAGAAAAGGAAAAGACGTGTAACCAATTCTCATGTTGATAAATTTCATTATTTACTTATCATGTTTTTGTGTAGTTCCTTTCTTAAATCAAATTTGATCCTGTCAAACCCTTGTGTATAGTTCAGAAAATGTTGAGGCATAGCGAATTGAAATAAACCAACAACCAATCGACTGCAAAACTACTTCAAAAGTAAACTTTGCAGCTGAACCCCCTCCCTCCCATTTCCCTCAAAACATGTAGACATATGTAACCTATGTAGATTATTTTCTCAACTATATTTATTTATTTATTTAACTTATTCAACAACAATTTTAACGCTTAGTATTCTTAAACAGCAACTCTAGCCAGTACTGAGGCATATACTCATCCCGAAAGAGGAGAAGAAACGTAGCAATTATAAACCAAAACAAAGAGAGAGCAATTGTACATAAAAGCAATATATATATATATCTATATATATGAAAAATCAGCCACTCCCAAATCCTACACGCAAGTTTTAAGAAATACTTTTAAAACCCCAACTACTCAAGAAAACAAGTAGCAAAAACCGATATTAAGCAGTCAGTAGTGAGCAATATATTTAACGGTGGCAAACAAAACACAGCAACAACAACAACAAAAAAAGGTATTTTTATAAATCGACAGCAGCAAAATGAAACATTTCGTTTGACGTTGCGTGAAACATTTCCTCACCCGATGAGGAGCTCGCATTGGTAAGCGGAGAAACCAAGAAGCAGACAACACACTTGAAAAAGAAATTGATATTATACAATAAATCAGAAGAAAAATGAAGAACTAACTATTTAAGATCTAGAAAAAATGACATCCAAAACCGTTGACGGAGACGCATTCAGAAAAAAAAACAAAGAAAACATACTGAAGAACAGCAGAGCAAAAACTATTATTATATTATTATTGATTAAGATGAGAGAAAACTGAAAAACCGAATGAAATATAAAGAGCAGACAAAAAAAAAACATTTGAAAAGTTTATAAAGCAAAACTGCGAGTTGTTTTCATTTATTAAAGCACTTCCTGAATGGTTTCGAACTATCCCTTTCGGTTGCGTCCGGCTCTCTCTTTAGGACTCTCTTTTTCAATCTGTCTCCCTTTCTCATTCCAACTCTCGCTGTCGTTCTCCTCTGTTTTCGTTCGAAGAAATTCACCTCGTTTCATTTAGAGATGGGTAAGTATGATCAAAATCAAAGCTTTTTGACAACAAAATTTTAGAATATCTTTATACCGTTAATCGGAAAGCTGTGCCTGTTTCGAACTAAAATGCAAACACTTTTCACCAACATTCAAAACTGGTACAGTTACCCTAATTTGATTGCAGTCGAAATTTCACCTTTGTAGATTACAACGAGTTGAATTTCTACTTCCAATTGCTTGATTTTTTTTTTTTTTTGGTTTGCTCCAAACTTTTTTGCAAATTTCAGTTGTTAAAGTTATAATTTAGTGATGAACGCAAAGTTTTGCAGGAGCCGTAGCAACCTATCGGTAGAAGGTTCCTAATGGGTGTCGAACGCGTCTGGAGCCCATGTTAGATAAGTCTTAGGTTATCTTCAAAACCGAATAAA